CTGCTGAGATAGCAATTACAGAACCGCTTATGACAGACGTTGACTGGTCATGGGATCCGAAGGAAATGGGGAAAGGAGATACAGGAGGCGGGGAAAGAAAGAGGATCACGAATCCTTCTGATAAAACCTAAAGAACCCATTGATCCTCAACAAAGGAACACCAGCAATAAAGAAAATCGGCAAGCTGAGCTCCCACTGGGTAGTCACCGGTACTGGTGGTGATGTAAGGTGCGTCATCGAGAAAAATGACGAGAAGAGGCACCAAGAGAAGAAGGGAAAAGTAAGGGTTGGGAAGGGGAAGGACGGCAAATGGTAATAGATGACATGAGGCTCTGACTGGGACAAATCTGCAACAATATTGGTAAGGGTAGATTGTTGTTAGACCAATGCTATCCATGACTTTAGTGTTTCCAGGCTTATGTCAGAAACATATTGCTGCAGAAATGGGGCTACACGTAAATCACTAAGATAAGCTGATGGTAAACAGACCTGAGTCAAAATTGCATCACAACCAAGAAGGTCCCAACAGCAGTGAAACTATGTGTGCAAAGCCAGAGTCGAAAATGACAAACAAGTTAGGGTGGAGGAAAGAAGGGAAAGGGTATCCCATGAAAACCCCGCAGGATTTCTGTGGAAAACCTCAGAGAGGAGGTGTAGAGAAGAAAGATACTATAACACAGTTGTAAGGGTAAGACGCAGGTGAGAATACTGGGCACGGGTCAAACTGTCAGGTAATTCAGGAGCCGCACCCCAAACAGGCAATATGGAACCTAATAACTGTTTGGTCCAAAAAGGGACAGTCAGCATGATATTATGAAAGCGTGAACTGATCTGAAGCTCTTGGGGGTCAAGGCATACTAATCCCATTGCTTAATTGGGAAGCAAGTTGATCAGCATGAACTTGAATATCAGGGGAGAGCGGAAATACCAAAAAGGGGTGGGAAGATTGGTCACGTAGTAAGGAAGGATGTAGCTCATAAGAAATAGGAGAAAGGAATAAAACATAACATACTTGAAAAACAAAATCCAAAAACCAAGTTAGGCCTAACTGACTCCTCAGGCAGATGATGGGAAGGTACAGCAAAATCAGGATGCAAAGTCCTCATCAGTCTGAACAGGATCTACCTGTTTGGGAGGAACTGGGGTGACATCCAAGGACAAAAGCTGGTCCATGTTACATTCAATCTCCTGGCATATAAACACAGATAAATCTACCATCTGGTTATCCATACTCAAGGCCTGAGAACACTAGTCTCATGTGTGACCCCCAAAGTGGTAACATGAACTTCAGAATTCATTGTGAAGAAGAGTCCACCAAATTCAAACAGTGAAAAAGAATAATGTGGCTGGAACTAACTAATAAAAATACAAAGTGAAGAAATTGTCTGAATGAAAATTAAATAAATTACAGAAAACCACTTCGTGAGGAAACTTAAGCCGAACGCGAATCTTTAAACAAACATGAAGCACATCTGAATGGATACAAGCGCTGCCAAATGAGAAGTGATAGTTCAGTATAGAGGGTGTCACATACGTCACATGAGCATGTCATGCTCCTATTGGTGGTGAAGTGATGCATGATGATTTGCAAGAGAGACACGTTGGAATCTTTCAATTCTAATAAGAGGGAGCAGAAGGATTGTGGCAAGGGTCTAAGAAAAAGTTCGCTTATAGAGGGCAGCACCGAACGAGAATAGCTAATTTTGTGAGAGGAGGTAAGTACCATATCAGAATTTATAGATATTATTTTGAAATGAACTGAAACTTATATAATATTAAAATTAGATTTATTAACTATATCTTGATGCCAAGTTTATTGATATACTGATATAAAGTAGTATAATTACATTTTGAAGGCAACTCTTTAAGAGGTCATTACATGTGCATTTTGGCCCACACCTGTGCACATAGCGTTAATATGGTAGTTATTTGTAAAAAATGCCTTACTAGCAATTGCTAATGAGTCAACCCTTTATCTCAGTTGGTACAGCATTGACCTGGTGTGGGACAGGTCTTGGATTTGACTCTGAGGCAAAGAAATATATATTGTAAAAAAAAGAAATTACTACATTTGCACCCAATGTGGAACTTATTTGTGATAATGAAAGAAAGTGGTAGTTTGAGTTAAGTGTTAAAAATTACCTTACTAGCAACTGCTAGAGGGTTAACCCTTCAGCTCAGTTTGAAGAGCACTCACCTGACATGGGACAGGTCTCAGGTTCAAATCAAAGCCAAGGAAATAAAAATTGAAATTACTACAAGATAAACTGGAACCCAACTAGTATTCATTCTATGACCCTGAGGATAGGCCTTGTTTGAAACATGCAAAAAATATCACAGCTTAGGTTGTTAAAAAGTGCCTACTAGAATTGCTAGTGGGTTAACCCTTTAGTTCAGTTTTCAGGGCATTTGCTTGGCATGTAAAAGGTTTGGGGATAAGATCCAAGGCCAAGAAATGTATATCATGAAAAATTAAATTAACATTTTAAAAGATTTAATGAAAAAAAAAGAAGTTGGAAGTTATGCATTTACGGAAATTTTTTTTATAAAAAATAATTCTTTGAAATATAGATAGTTGAAAAAAACTAAAAGTTTGTGTACAAGTCTGAAAGTTCATTCAATATCTGTAAACTTTCTTTGCTGAGTGTCTAATGACTGAATCAATATGAAGGTAGAATTTAGAAATTATCAATGGAAATACAATGGAGACTATTTTCACTGTGTGTGTGTGTGGACTTGAAAAGCAGAAAGATGTACAAGTTTTTGAACAATTTTACACGAGACATCTACATCTACATGCACATAGCTACAAATTTTTAACTTATTTTAGTGTTTTGACAATATAAAACATTATCTTGTATATATATCGCAAACCAAGGTGTCTGTCCAAGCATTTGCCTGTTTCTCCATTTATGGTGGCTGCTTCCTGCGCTGCATTTGAAAAGCTGCACATGCAGACAAAGCTCAACATTCACTTTTGAAATGATGGGAGAACAGACATGAATAATATTGATGCCAAATTTTATATCGCAAGCAGGATATTCTACACTAAATTGTTAGGAATTAATCACATTATTATTTACATTTCAAAATGTGACATAACTTAAAGAATAAAAATGTTGATTTATCGGATGTTATTGGTGAGCAGCTCTTTACATGACTGAAATGCTCAACAATTACTTTTTGCAGTGGGCAGTATAAAAAGCTCAGAGCTTTGGCTCTGAACACAATTAACCTTTTTAAAGTTCATGCGGTTACATGCTTAAAGAATCTGTAAATCCTTTTAAATACCCATGTTATGTTGTAGTATCTTTTTCAGATATAATGAGAAACTATTCTACTCATATATATGTCATTCTTGATGTGTATTCTATGAATTTATGAGTGAAAGTTAAGAAAAATATGTTGTAGTATATCAAACACACTATATCTGAACTATCCACTGCCAACAAGACATTTTGGCCAACATAAGGGCTCATTATTGTTACAGACAACTGATGATAAAATATGTATAATCTAAAACACACACTGACTAAATCAATATGCTATCTTTATGCTTAGAAAAAAAATGAAGAATTTTGGCCTTCAAATCAGTTTAACAAAACATCCAGATGGTTTGTCTTTTCAGAACATGTTTTGAAAACACAGGCATTTTTATTCTTTGACATTAATTTTGTTATTTTACTATATACAGTATGTGTTATTTTTCAAACCAACAGCTTTAAACCAAAGATTGGAAATATTCAGCTCCTCTTGTATATTGTTCTTTTTTTGTTTCTAGGCTTAACAATAAATACCTTTCTCCGCATGTAACTATAAAATTTGTTCCTCTAAACAATACTGGTGACCAATGATGTTGCTGTAAATAGTGACTACAAAATAATGACTTAATGTTATATATACATAGAGTGTGGTATAGCTGTCATTATAAAAAGTTAGATGTCAGGTAACATTTGTGATCAGTTAATTGTACTTAATGTAAGCCATCATAAACTGCGTAAATTCTATGTTCATATAATGTACTATAAAGAGTTTAAGAAGAAATTAAAACAAATTTTATTGAACATCTCGATCCACACAGTTTTAAATATAGTTATTTTTTTAATTGATTCAACATTATTAAAACTGTATAAAAACAGCAAGACATGTTGGTAAAGTATAATGTTTGTTTGTTTTGGAATTTCCCATAAAGCTACATGAGAGCTATCTGCACTAGCCATCCCTAATTTAGCAGTAATAGACTAGAGGGAAGGCAGCTAGTTAACACCACCCACCTACAACTCTTAGGCTACTCCTTTACCAACAAAAAGTGGGAATGACCATCACATTATAACACCCCCACAGCAGAAAAGGATTCAAATCTGCGACCATCAGGTTGCGAGTTTGATGCCTTGACTACTGGAGTATAATGTCTTCATGTATTTATTTTTCTCTCTATAGACAGTTTATATTTTTTTAGTATAAAGCTACTCAATAAGTTATCTGCACCCTATCCACTATGTGGAATCAAACTCTGGATTTAAGCATTGCAAGTCTGTAAAGTTATTGCTAACCCATCATGGGATTTGTAAAGAGTTTGGAATAAATTAATACAAATATTACAAGCATTGTTTTATTGTACATATTGTTGTGATTTAATATCAGAACAGAAAGTTATACAAAACATGACATCTTTAAGTAACAGTTTCACACTAAGTTATTAGCAGAAACTTACTTAATACAGTTTTGAAAACTGTCTCCAATATTAACCAATGAAATAAGTTAAGCTTTTGTTTTTTCAAATCCAGTAGGAAAATTATATATGTATCTCTCTTTCAGTCTATTTTCATAAATTAGTTTGAAGGAACTGTATTACATTGAACTTTAAAAAGTTCTATTAATCAAAGAATTTGAATAATAATTTGAAACAAAAACACAAAATAAATAAACCACATTGAACTTATTATGAAGCATTTATATTCAGCAATAATAGATAAAAATTTTGGAAAGAAAAGTCTTACTTCTCCAACGAGCTGTGAAAATTCTGGAAGCTGCTTATAATCACTTGGTCAGCAACATGAACAGATCCACAAATCAGTGACAATATTGTGTCTGGTTTTTCTGCCTTAAAGAATTACAGTTTAGAGTTAAGGTATATTACTCTTTTCATAAAACAACAACATATATTACTCAGTTACAGGATTGAGTTTAGTTACAATTCATGCTTATACATCTCTTTGACAGCTTTCATAAAGCAAGAAAAAAAAAAAAAACAGGATTTCTTTTAAGCATATAGTATTTCTGTAAATAAACCTGGCTTTACCAAGTGTCACAGTATGCTTTGCAATCTAAGTTTCATTAATACAAGACTAAATATGTGTAGACCAATTACTGAGTTACAAGTGAATTAATGTAATGTCTAAACTAAACAATGTCATGTAGAGTTTCTAGAATAGGTGATGAAATTAAATTTTACAATAAGTCCCAGTAAAATTGAAACACAGTAATAACATGCTTACTTAAAAAAATTTAATGTGTACAGTTACAAGAGGGCTTCTTTGGCGTTTGCTCTTCGAGTTATTTTCCAAAAATATATGGAACAGTATTTAAAATGAGTGTCAGTAATCTGGTATCAAATATAAGTATATTGTAAAATTATATTTGCTTTAAATGAAGAAATGCCACTTTAAAGAATAACTAAAAAGGTTGTTAATTCAACTTATCAGCTGGACAAATAATCCCTTTTTGATTATTTTAACACTTAATTTTTCAACTTTCAAGTTGGCTTGTAAACAGAATATACAAGTCCAGTGTCAAACTATACAGGCTTGCCTTACAGAATGAGGCAGTCTATTTATTATTTTTCAAAACATAGACTGTCTTGAAACATGTGAACCTCCAAGTTCAGTATCAAACACTTGCATGAATCCATAACAGATTTGTCATCATTTATGTACCTACTCACAAAAGTATTAACTTCTGTTCAAAATACAAAGGTTTATATGGAGTTCATACCGTGATGTACCGTTCTCATTAAATAGGTAACTTTGACTATGTACATGATATTAAAATTTTAGACAGTTAGGTGGCATTACATATTTAAACTAAAACCTTCTGCAGAGTTTATTCATGAGATCACAAACATTCCTTGCAAAAACATATACTTAAGCTCAAAATGTTTCATAACACTTATGCACTTAGATTAACCTTTGTACATTTTACCAACAAAGTTTGTAAAAAGATTCTCACCTGAACTCTTTTGGCAATAAGCCTGTCTAGCCAACCAGTATCAAACTGGTTAATTTGGTAGTCTTCTGTTTCTAACAGTGTAACCAAGTACTCTACTGTTGTCCTAAAATCTCCTCTGATTGACAACTCTTTCAATGCCAACACCATGTTTCTGGGTTTAAAAAAGTAACAAACAACCATAAATTCCTGCATGAATTAAAGCTCATAGGCAGTACTTAAAAAAAAATGCAGGGGGGAGGGGGTTCCATTAAATAATTTATGTTTCATATAATTCATGTGAAAAGATATAAAAAATAATGACACTGGTTAAAGACAAACTGATTAGGAAGTGTGGTGTGATAATTAAAATGCTAAAACATTAGCATGTTAATCAAATGTGCACATTTAAGGCTATGAAGATGTCAGAAATACACGGGTTGTTACAAATAATCATTATTACACAAAATAGTTGTCAGTATCATTCACATTGAGCTCATTCCAGGATAAAGGTGATGAGGAATAGCAAGAAACAAGTACATTCTTCAGAGAATATCATTTGATGCATAATTATCATATTACAGAAAACTTCACAATGCTCACTGAATGTTAGTGAAAGAGCCCAAATGAAAATTACATTACATGACTCGGCTATTAAGCATTACATACTACATAGACTGGAAACGACAGCCACATAACCAGCAGATTCGCACAACACAGTATTTGTGTGTGTGAAGAATCTCTTCCAGTTGTACTTTATTCACCATGTCCAATAACTACAACCCAAATATATATGTAAACAATCATGTTACATTATAATACAGGCTTCAAGGTTACTTATTACAAATATAATGCATGATATGCCAATCAAGGGAGTAAAATAATGAAGTACTCTTAATAGTGTAACATAATAACAGCATAATAACAATATACATCACAAATACATATATGTATAATAAGTGCAACAGTTAGTGACTTGATATGTATGACAAATGCCTTGCAACAAATATAATTATGCCACCCAAAGGTAAATGTGTCTGATATCAGTTTTAATATTCTAACAAATGGGACCATTTTAAACAAAAACATGAATTCTTTAAAAAGTGTTGTATTGACCAAATTTGAGGTAAATAATCCAAGTTCATGAAAAGTTGAACAGCAATATAAATTTCAGACATGAAAATCTGTGTTGCAATGAACAAGCACCTATTGTTTGTTTTTAAATTATGAGCAAAGGTACTCGATGGCTATTTGCGCTAGCCATCCCTAATTTAGCGGTGATAGACTAGAGGAAAGGAGGCTAGTTAACACCACCCACTGTCAACTCTTTGGCTACTCTTTTACCAATGAATAGGGGGATAGACCATCACATTATAACACCCCCACATCTGAAAGGGTGAGCATGTTTGGTGACAGGGATTCAATCCCATGACCCGTGGATCTCGAGTCAAGTGCTCTAACCACCAGGCCTCCAAGCACCTATTAATGAATCATTTAATCACAATATCCAAGATGCTTCATTGTATTAAATTTAGTTTCACATTCAAATATAGCAAAAGTACAGACCAATGTTTAAATCACATTTGTGCCAGATGAAACGTTAAAATTCCTTATTATATATTTTTCTTTGCAAAAAAAAAAAAAACAAAGTCAAAAAGGAGCTAAAACAAAGAGGTAATGCCATACATTATAAAACATATATTTCCTGTAGAGTCTATTGTCAGAATTATTAAACATTACTTACTCTCTGGCTTCCTCCCTATCTTCACCCCAAGAGAAACAATGACCAAACTGAGAGTCTGCATATTCATGAAGCCCCCCAGAAGCTCCCACACTGAAATAACCCCATACATTCTTGTTACTTCTGAAGTTCAATTCCTGCACTGTTCCTGAACTTGGCTTAAATCCTTCATCTGGGTTTTCGCTGGTGATTCGAGTAGCTATGACATGACCCCATGGATAAGGTTTATGGTTAGGTTGATCAAAATTTATCTCACTATCATCCCACAATGATTCACCATACAACACTCGAATATCCTTTATTCTATGGAGGGGGATGCCCATAGCTATCTGTTCATAAGCACAATACAAAAAAAAATTGTATAACAAAAGTAGACTGCATTTAATATAAGATGAAATACTATGTTTATTTATACACTAGTAAATTACATAGCTTGATAAAGTTTATTTACCGTTCACTGCATGATAAAAACATCAGACCATTTTTGAATTTTCATCCAATCAATATAAAATGCTCGACACCAATCAAGTCCATTAATCAAAGTCATGTGATGTAAGCATGAATTTTCTACTCTGATTTTTTGTAATCACATTTAATGAAAGAATTTAATTGCATAAAGAGTTTATTACAATTTTTTCCTACAAAATAAAATATTACCTAAAATATATATTAACCATTGCATAGATTATTTCAGACACAGAGAAAGTGGAATTATAAAATGTTTTTAAATTTCTTAATAGCAGTTAAAAGAAGCTTTTTGAAAAAAGTATTTATTTCACTCAAATATATTGTTTCTTCTCCAGAAAATGTTCAGTTAAAATTTATAAGAAGTAGCAGAAATTTCATCACCATACTGAATACAAGTTTGAATTAACAGAAACTGATAGATAATTATTAAAAAAATATCCATTAAGAATCTTCCTTTTCATGATCTCTTATGTTTATACACCTGGAAACCTATATGAAGATATTTGTATTCAATTTTCTTAAAGTTATATCAAATTCCATAAAATTAAAATTAAATCCTGAAAACAATCATGCATAACATAAAGCTATTTAATCTATCTTTCCTACAATTTCTGTAACAGAAATAATATCAAAAATAAAAGGCTGTAAATCATATTTCTCAGTTGACTAAAATTTCAGAAAAATTATCTAATCTTTGCTAAAATTCTTTACCTATTTTAAATATTCCATTCTGTTACTTCAACTTCAGTAATTAAATATGATTGGATTATACATGGAAGCCATTCAATAGGCTCCTAGAAATATAACTGAACAAAAGGAGAAATCAAATAACAATGAGCAAACCCGTGGGCCTATGGCCTACATTTACAGAGCCGCTATAATGCAAATTTAATGCTTGAAACACTATTTTGCACTTTTTCAATTTAATGATCATTGCCATTATAATTCAAATTTTATCTAATCAATGGTAATTAGTAGGCCTACTTATTTACATATTCTTATGTAAATTAATGTTCAATTTAGGTTCCGCTTTCAGGGAAACCACATTAAAGTGTTTTTGTAAAATACCAAGGTTCCCTAAGGGGTTGGGTGAAAAGTTTTACCTTTATGCAAACCTCACATTTGAGACCAGTTGTTTGGCACCACTTAGAAGTTGGTGAGTCCAGCAGTTTAAGAGAAGGGTTTTTTTGAGAAATCCCTTAGTTCAACAAGAGGTGTGGTGAAAACTTTACCATAAAGCTAACCTTGGGACAGAGACAATTCATTTGGTACCACTTAGAAGTCAGTGTGACCAGCAGTTTAGGAGGAGTTATGTGACACACACACACACAGAGATACTGAATCTTATTAGATATATAACTGAACTGAGGCGTGATTCTAATGTCTACTGAAACCTAAAGCGGTGTAGTTTGTTTTTATAAAAAAATAACGTAACCTGATGATGTGATACCACTTTTATCTAAATGTTGTAATCTGTTTTAAAAACAGCAACCAGTATATTTGCTACAAACATTAAATGTAAATCTATTACAACTGTAGTAAGCTTGAAATTAGAATAAAACAAACAAAACATCTGACTAAACTAAGTAAAAAATAACAAACAAGCAACTAATCACATAAAAGGATTGTACATTGAGGTACATATTACTAAGAATAAAAAAATATATATAACAAATTTGAAGATATCAGAATTAGGAAATATTTATGGAAAAAAGCATGGGAAGTCTTGAAAAGTTTAAAAAACACAAAATAGATAAAATAAAATGGAATATCTGAAGTTAATAACACTTTACTTGAAAGAAGCTCCAGATGCTGTGCTTTCCTTAGAACTACTTCCTCCATCGTTGATTGTTATAAATATAATGACAATGATTACACAATATAGTCCTAGAACACAATGTCTATTGTGAAGCATCTGTGAAGTGCAGTGAAGTCCATTGTATATGGCTTGGTTTGAATTTCACATAAAGTTAAACAAGGGCTATCTGCAATAGCTGTCCTTAATTTTGCAGTGACAGACTAGAGGGAAGGCAGCTAGTCAACAACATCCACCATCAACTTTTCGGCTAATCTTTTACCAATGAATAGTGGGATTGACCATCACATTACAATGCCCCCACAGCTGAAAGGAAGAGCATGTTTGGTGACAGGTGGTTCGAACCTGCAACCGTCAAATTGCAAGTCAAGGGCCTTAACCACCAGCCCATGCCAGACCTATTGTATATGAACATCAACTGAATACTGAAGTTTCATTTTTTGAAATGTGAATTTTTTTTTTACTTATACATCATTGAACAATCTTGATATAAGAATAGAACGAGCTGTGACATATTCTAACCATACGTCTACCACCATAGCATCGCAAAAGCAATTGGTGTGGAATTAATTCACAGTGAACCAATTATTCAGATGTCACTTGTAGCATCTCAGCTCACACATTAAATGACACATCACTGCATTTAATTAACAGCATATACAACTTACTCTTACACAGAGTGATTCCCTCTCTATCTACTCTGATTCTAATGAAGCACAGGTCAAGGTTACGTAAAACTTGTCTTATAATTGTGGTATAAACAGATAATTGGAAAAAAAAAAGATTTGTTTTTATCAAAATTTCACCCTCCTCAATTTTTATCCTATTTACATATACAGTATAGGGGGAATGTCAGTAACATCCACACAAAGCCTTACCTGAAGCTGTGCAGCAGGAAGGTTCACATTGGCAACCATTTCAGTACATGGGTGTTCAACCTAATCAAACAATAAACAAATACATTTATTTCAAACACGTTCTATGATCATTCTAACATAATACTTGTGTTTCAAAATTAAGTGTTATATTTAGTATAATACAGAATATTTTAAAGTCAGTAAAATTATACTTTTGATTAAAAAATGGATATTCAAAGGCCTACAACTAACAAAGAGATGATCTTGTAGTTTTCACTAAACAGTGTTTTAGATCTATTTCTTAAAATTACATACTATTTAAGCACAGTTGTTATAATTGTATTAATAAAAACAAGTGAATCCATTTATACCCCAAACCAAAATTTTTAAACATGTTGAAAAAGTACCTATCCTAAATGAATAGGATAATATTAGCCAGTGCTCACTTGAAGGCGAGGATTGAGTTCCAAGAAAAAGAAATTTCCACTTTCATCATATAAGTACTCTACTGTCCCAGCACTGACATATCCCACCATTTTAGCCAGCCGAACAGCAGCCTAAAACAAACAACAGTATTTAAGTTAAAGCTTGAATTTTGAAATTATGTCTTGTATACTGTGAATGTTTTTACAGTAGAGGCAAAATGCAAATTTTTTTAAAAACATTAAACATTTCACTCACTTTTTTAAACTTAAAAATGTAATTACTTTAAAACATTTTTAACCACTCAATTTGGAAAGGTTCATAATAGAAATCATGCCTTAGATTCAAAAGGGAATAGGGTGACTTGAGGGGAAAAGATATATCAAATAAAATTCATATTACACCTCTGTTAATTGGCTATCTCCTATAAACAATTTACTTAAGTCATTAAATGATTTTCCTCACCTGCAAATGGCAACTTATGCAAAAAAAATTACAATATAAATACAGACTTGTGAAATATTAAGATCTGATCTGATGTGATATGATTAAACATGCATGTAACAGGACAGAAAACAAATACAGATTAACAATAAATAACAGCATACCTAATATACTGTATGCATCATGAAGTGTATGTGTATTTAGGTTTAACACCAGTCACATATGAAATTCGAACTTAACATATTTACTGATTAATAAGAACCTCTGATCCAGAGTAAAGTATATAAATCAAGATGAAAAAAGTAGCTTCCAAAATTAATGAAATCAACTCTGTATAACAGACTGACTAGAATTATAATTAATGTCATAATCCACAGTTGAAAACTAAAATCTATAATGAATAGAATGTACTGATTTATCAGTTGTGTCCTCTCAGTCAACATAATCTTTTGGCCATAATCATAATATCTAAAGAGCCTGTTGAAGAGATTCAGGTCAGTCCTAAGTCACTGTATTAAACCAAATTTTGGAGATTCAGAATTTCCAAGATGGGAATATCACTTGTACTTAATGGCATTGGATAACAAAGTAATATGGATCAACATGGGGCACCAAGGCCATCCAGAAAAAGACCAGCAACAAGTCGTACCACAGCCATGGTAAGCAAACTGTGGAGTCTTATAACAGATGAGTATACATGAACACAAAGGTCAGTGGCAAAATCTTCTGAAAGTGTGGCACAACTCATGTGTACATAAATTGCTTCAATGGCATATCCATTTAACAGTGACATACCTCAAGCAGTTGGAAAGTGAAAAGGGTATTCATGTTATTCAATAAAAGACATATTGGTCAAATGTCTGAAGTACAGCATCTATGTATTTCTTTGTTACCACACTGTTGAAACAGATGATAGAAAACCAATGTCATCATACAGTGGACAGATTAGAGAAAGCATAGAGGGAGTAGTGATGTGCTTTGAACATGACAGACTTATGGTAGATGCTTTACAATGAATAATACACTGCAGAGCTATTGTCAAAATGCATAGTTGTCAGACAGAGCATAATTGGATTTGGTGACATGGACAGCAACAATGTGGAGAAGCTCCAAAATTATTTTAATATACTCAAACTCCAGCTGTATAATACATACAAACCCTTGCACATATAATATTATGAATAAAAGGGATTAGGTAGTGTAGTACACCTTGATTTCATTTAAGCTTATTTTCATAGTTTTTAGAGATTATAAAATTTTGAACAGTTTGAGTGTTTTCAAGTAACTTGGCAAAAAGTCTATGCAAAAGAAGACAACAGAACATTTAATGGAACATGTCTGTTTACAAGGTACAATTCAAATAAGTAACATAATATACATTTTCTAATAAATTAAGTTACAGGTAAAGAGCAAGAATAGCCTTTCTAGGTGCACCTTATATCAGCAACTGTCCTTCCTGATGCAATGAGATAGAAGTCATGGACCTATGCAGTATCAACAAAAGTTTGATATCTATTAGAGGACTTTTACTAGACATAACACTTCTCAGAAAATGTCTCCCTTAAGTGATTAATTCTTCCTGGGAAAATGTCATTTCCTCAAAAATAAAACCTGTTTTAAACTTAATAATCAAAAGTAGGAGTAAAGGACAATACAGATGTCAGCAGAAAAACAGAAAACTCTGCAATAATATATCCTGTGATCATGGCACCAACATTTTCTCCTTCCTATTCTCTTTGTGGTATTCTCAGGTGAAACTGATTTTCCTTATAGTGATGAAATAGGTCCATAAAATAATAGGAGAGTTGACAAGATATTTATTATAGAGTATTTCCAAATTTTTGTGGTATTAATTGAGTTCGAGAGAATGAAATAAAAAGACTGGACACAATATAAAACACAATGAACAATCTTTATTAATATTACAACAGAGTGAGTGTGTATAATTGCATTGGTTGTTGGACAGTCACTTTCACTGAATCAGAGATAACTTCTACTAGACTGACTTGGATACAACTACAGATTATTTAAACTTTATGTTACCTAATTCAAAGGTAATGTCAAACTCACCCAGAGCAATTAGTGCTACTCATGTGACTGGTCATTCTTATTCAATATTATAGGAAGTTGTAGCCTCAATGCATCACCTGATCTGCCATTGGAGGACACTGTTGTGAACATCCTTACACAATGTGTAGCATTACAATCATACTCCCCCATGGGAAGATCAGGTGCCATCTCAACAGAATGACAGATAAAGCAAGTTAATGACTTTCTTGACCATGTGTTATGTGAAAACTGCACATATAAAAATAACTGAAAAACTTCAAATAACATTATGTTGAAATAAGAAAGCAGAAAATGCATGGTGTGCTTGCTTACCAAACTTTTCCTATCCCCCTTTTTTTTTTTAGGTTTGTCCAAAATCTTACAGTTAATTTTAAACTTTAAAAACCAATAAATCTTTTCAATAGATATTTTGTAGAAGAAATAAAAATAGTGAAGGCTACTTTAATAGAAGTGATATTTGCTGTTGAAATAAAAACACTGTTGCATTTTTTCAAGGAAAATAATAAATAAAATTAAATGTAAATATAATAACTGGCATTTTACTTTAAATAAACATTAACTCATGACACACATATACATGGGATTAGTTGGGTTTTTTTCTGTTTATAGTTAAAGTACCTTTTCCATTTCTTCAAAGACATCCAACTTTGCTATCACGCATGGGGCTTCTTCTATAATTTTCTGATGACGTCGTTGGATGGAGCAGTCTCGGCCAAAAAGAGAGATTGCATTTCCATACTGGTCAGCAAGAAGTTGGACTTCCAAGTGGCGAGAACAAGTTGCTAGTTTCATGATAAAAATAGGAGAACTTGGAACTTCTAGCTGAACCTATGCAAAAACAAAGTCAGTGTAATCACCTATATCTTTAGTTTACATTATCTACAAACTGTTATTTCTATAATTCCTGGTGTGGCAACATTTAAAGAGTATTTTATTAACAGCTATGCTGAAATTGCTCAAGGGATAATCAGTGTTTTCTATATTCTAGTGTTATGATAAGGTACAACTGCTATTATTAGGTAATGTCCCACTGACTGATAGTGAAATATGTCAGGACCACAAGAAAGACATTTGGACATTTCAATGAAATTGAGGGTAAAGCTGGTCAATCACAAAATATCCGTGCATAATGGCTACAAGTCTCACAAGGTGTGGTTTACTGTATGTTGACTCATTTTTGGATCCCCTATACAATTAATCAGAAAATCTAGAAAGGGCAGACACTTGTAAACAATCTCACAAGACAACCACAATTTAACAATATGGGCTTAAAGTAACTGGCACACCTCAGATTCCAAAATGAATCAACAGTTCAATGCAGCAACTAAATGGTAAATCAGGATGCAAATAGTCAGAAATACATTTACTTCTAATAACCAATGGTATTATTTTTCTAATTCATCATCACAAAAAAGTACATTTTAACTAGTGTCAAGAATATGTGGATTAGTCAAAGAATATGAAGATAGATGTCTTGCAGATTAATCACACTTCACACTGCAGCAAGATACTAGATATGTACACAGTGAAACAAAATAAATATCAAATGGACAACAATTGTAGACTACATCTTGGAGTCTAACAATCTATAAAAATAGTACAAGTAGAGGGAAAGAAGTTTCAAAAGCCTTCCACATTTCATCTTCAAGTCAGCTTAATATGGATTGTAGGTGTTTATGTAGTGGGCAGCTTGAGAAGGGGTGTTGTGATTGGTTGAAGATTCTCGGTTGTTATTAATGGAATGTGTGAATGCTGACCAACAGTAGCCATAAACTGCTAGCTTCTATGGCCGAGTCTCTGTTTAGTGAGGGTATTAACATGTTAATGTAGAAAGATTCCTTGAACTTTTATGCCTGTAACTGTCCCAGTATATTTTGTCTTGTCAACATAGCATATTATGCAATGGTGGAATTCTATGGTTTCATCTATGATATGGCACTGTGAGTACTTATGAAACAGAGATGAAGTCTTACAATCATTAAAGGTGCAGTTGGTTTGTTTTGATAGATGATAACATGTACCTCAACTGTTCCTGAAAAAAAAAAAAGAGGGTATCAAGGGAATGGACTAGCCAGTGCTCTCACCATGTTTAATCCAATTTAACATGTACAAGATGCTCTAGGAAGACACTTGACTGCACTTGATTCCCCTCCAAGTAATGTTGATTAATAAAAAAGAGGGCACCAAGGGAATTTACTAGCCAGTGCTCTCACCAAGTTTAATCCAATTTAACATGTATGAGATGCTCTAGGAAGACACTTGACTACACTTGATTCCCCCTCCAAGTAGTGTTGATGAATTAGAAACAACTCTGGTGGAGGAGTAAGCCATATTACCGCAGTAGTCCACTGATACATTCATTTTGAGTTTGCCACATTATCATATGACTTGTTTGATTATCCAAGGTGACCATATGCTTTATTAACAAATGTTATCTGATCATTTAATATGGGCTGCAAAGTCTGAAGTATTAAGAGAAAGTTTGAGGGCACAAACCCCAATTCTAAGAATTTATGAGTGAAAGTAAGAAAGAATGTGTGAAAATATGTCAAACACACTATACGTGTTGTATCTAGTGCTGATGAGACTTTCACTCAATACTAGGACTCATCAGGACAGCATGATACAACAGACCCAGCAGTGGTTGAGAAGCTATCTAAATGATTATACTGCACGAACAACAACTGTAATAGTGTGAACTATATTAAGCTGGTGAAGTGTAATTTGTATAAATTTTATATGAGACATTTACAAATCAGAACTAATGTAAGGATTAATTAATAATCCATTATTAACTTATTATAATACCAATTAATTATTTATTATTATTATTACTATTTATTTTTACTTGATCAACTTTAACTATCATTCAGAGAAAATGGCAAACCCTAAAGCTAGTCTTATTTATCCCGGAGTGGGTAAACCAATGGGAGAAGACTATGTTTGTAATTCTAAGAACTTATGAACCAATGTAAAGAAGAATGTATAACAATTTGCAATGAAGCCTTTTGCCCAGTACCAGAACTCATCAGGCTGTTTGGAATATGATAGAAGTAGTAGTGACTGAAAGACTATTTATATTACCAAATTATATGAAAAACAATTGTTATGGCATGAAGTGTAATTTATATAAATTTTATATAAGTCATTTAAAAATAAAAATTAGAGCAAGGATTAGTAACACCAATTATTTATTTTTACTTGATTAACTTTACTCATCATTCAGAAGAATTGGCAAACCAGGAAGCTTATCAATGTACATCTGTCTATCAAATCACACGACGAGTCACCTGAAACTTGTTTTATAACAATGATTGTGCCTCGTTACAGCTAGAATATATAACACTTTGACTAACCCTTAATTAAGTATGCTTAAGTATGATAAGTATGCTTTTAGACTTATAACACATTTTGAAACTATAAATCAGAGAAACTTCCAAACTTTTCTCACAATAAGATAAAGATTTGTTATCCTTTCTATGAACATGGGGAACAGGAAACATGAGAAAAGCTGTAAGTCTCTTTAATCTACAGTTCAAGGACAATGATGAAAAATTATCCCTGACTATGGTACTAATAACAAGTGTTATTTATCCTCTTCTTCCATATCTTTATATACAAACAATAAGACTTTTATTAATTCAAAACTTGAAACAAATTCTTTTTTTTACTTAAAACATTAATTTACCATTTTTTTTCTAAATTGAAACTTTAGCTTGAAAATTCATGTGCAGGCTCTCAGCTTGAAAACATAATTACCTCTCTATTCTGTAGGTAAAAATTAACAAGTAATAAAACAACAAAAACCTGAAAATATTCCTTAGTATAAATGTGCAGTAAATATGAAGCTAAGATGGCTGAGTATAGTATGACAATACACAACACTGACTACAGAAATACCTGTCGATACATGTTTGGGAATTCAGCAGCATTATCAACTTTACGGATGCCTTTTCCTCCTCCACCTTCTGAAGCTTTGATCATAACTGGAAACCCAATAGACTCAGCTGCCTATATCAGTACAAGTAAAAAATAAAATAAAATCTAGCATGTATCATTAGTGTCTTTAAATCATGAGATAATAATAGCTTGATAAACCAACTGAAGTACATATAATGTTGAAATAACTATTTTACCTCATCAGCTACAAACATTTTCTAAAGGAGAAAAAAATATTTTAAAGCACAGTAAAAACAGTAACAAGAGAAGAAAGCTTATAATAAAAATAAGTGCATTAAATTAATGAGGGAGAAGTGTACCAAGATTGTCAATAATGAGAGAAAACAAAGAGAAAAATTAATTACAGCACACACTATAAATATTTTAATTACAATCCTAATTTTGATGCAAAAACAGTGAAAGTAAAAGCTAATATATCTAGTTACATGAAAGTAAAAAACAAAATAATCACAATTTCTCTTTAAACCATAAACTTTAAAGAAATATATGTACAGTATGATCTGCTTAAAGATCATCTATAATTTTCAGAAAGGGGTTTATGAAGCATAGATTGTTTATAAGCTGATTGACAAATCAAAACTGACCATAAAATAAGGCATAAGTTATTATCACTATTGGCTTTGACTTCAAAATAATTAATTTTTAAATAATTAATCAGTTTGTGATTAATCAACAAAAAATTCATTAATAATAAATTAGCAATAATGTACAAAGCACAACTACTGCTAGTGACAGATAAACTCAGAAGTGCAAAGTTGTAATACTACAGAGCAAGACAACTCCCAAAATTAAACATCACTACCAATGCTTCAACCTCAAGATGGACCAAAAATAATGAACCATTACAATAAGTCCAGAATTTAGGAAACAAAATTCACTGTTATTATAAAACTATATATACAGCTATTGTATAAAGTTTTCAGAAACTTAAGAACTATAATCAGTACATGCCCAACCTTTAATCCTTGTTCAACATCTTCTATACACCCTTTCTTGTATAGCTCTGATCGAATTTTTATAACTTTGTTTTTCTTGCTTAGAGATTCATTCCAGTCAGCTTTTAATCCTATAACAAGATCCAAAACTTATGCAATACTTAAAGTAGCAAATGTACAGGGTGCACATAAAGTTTGGAACCATAGGTGATTTGCAGCTTTTTTTAACTTCAGATACATGACTGATTATGCCGATGTCAAAGCATAAGGTCGAGTTAATCCTGCTGTTAATCCAAACTTGTTTCGAATTAAAAGGACAGTGTGTGGAATACATTCTGTAAAATTTGTTGAAGTCTCTATGGTTCCAGACTTTTCAGACACCCTTTATCATTCCATTTGTAAAATTAGCCTTTAAAAGAAAAAAAAAAGGAGTTTGAATAACTATTATTAAACATTTATACAAAACATGGTAGATATTTCATGACTAACTGATTCCAACAGTTATGTAAAGAATATTATAAAACTGAATAATTATATTTCTAGTTTTTGTTTATAAATCCACATATCACACCTTAAAATTATTGTTTTTTTGTTTTGTTACTTCTAATCAATTTAATAAAATGAAGGTAATTAATTTTAAAATGATTTGTCTTTCAAGGGCAGATCAGAAAATGGTTTCACACAAAATGACTTCATAACTGCTTTATTCACTAAATAGATCGTCTAGCAGGGTAAGAGGAAGAGTATTAGGAGTAGAAAGAGGATCCTGTGCAAGGTTCCATTGATCATGAAGAGCCCACTGAAGGGATCTAATATGGGCAAGACTGAGAGGGACCAGTGATGCCTCTGAAGACCACATCCCCAAAAGCAATAATACCTCACAAGCAGTAAGTGATGAAACTGAGAGTGCATGGCAAACTAACAATTCCATAGAAAGAAGTCTTAAAGGAGAAGGCTGGACCCAATTCATATGAGTGTCGAAAAGGACCCCCAAATTCAGTTCGGAATGAGCAAGAAGAAGCCAGTCATCCATGTAATAGTGAAAACTCAACCCCAGAACATGAAGATGTCGAGCAAGTGCTCGGACTACCCAAAACCCTATTTAGATCGGCAGATCATACCGATTTATTCAATACAAGGCATGGTAGGGATGGGCAGCTATCTCCTTCTGCTTTAGTATGATCCATTATGGGCAAACTTATGAAGCAAACCTACTGCAATCTTATGGAACACCCCATCTCCACTTTGCATGGCCATGTGATTATAATATGTAAATCAATGTGGTCTTACAGTGCAGATTTGATCAGTTAAAGAATACTTGGTCAGGCACCACTCACCACAGAGCAGGATCCAGAAAATTATTAATAACAAAAAAGGACCCTGAAAAGAAAGAGAACTAAAAGATAACTTACGCAATCAAAGTCTCAATGAAGTCTGAAGAATGGCTATAGGTGGAAAACAATAATCTGAAGAGGAAGATACTGCAATCCTATATAAAGAATGAGAGACGAACATATGATAGGTAGTCCACATGCCTGATTGAAGAATTTCTTACAAGGGATGACGAAGATGAACCTAATTGGTAAGGATGGAAGGAGAAAGATCACGAACAGAGGATGTCTGCCAAGGAATAAAGAGGAGGGAACAGGTGCCATGGAAGGAAGTCATGTGGGCAATATAACAGAGAAGAGCATGTTCAGGACATAAAAGTCTATCCGGATCAGACTGAGGATAAAGGCTAACCTGAGATCAAGGAGACAGAAGACCACCCTTGATCGAAAATCCAAGTTAGGAAATCTGCAAAATGAAGAACAGTAGGTGATCAGGAGAAAACTCTTGACCCAGAGACCAACAACAGAAAATGTTCCATTTACATTGATAAACATCCATGGAGGAAAGGCAAATGAAACTAGCTAGAAAAGAACCTACCCAACGGGACAAGCTGGATCTCTTTGCCAAGAACTGGATAAAAACCAGGGAAGACAGAAGAAAGAAATGCTGGATGAAGTTGATGAAGAAGGGATGGAGTAAGAGGAAGAGGTAACAGAGGGATAGTTTGGAGTTGGAGTAGTCACAGAAACCACAGCTGAGCTGGCCAGTAAGGAGCAATCAGAAGGACATGATAAGGAGTGGCATGGATGATCAAAATCACCCTGGGAAGAAGTCGAATGGGACAATAGACATACAGGTATTTGTTGGTCCAATCCTGACTGAAATCATCAACAGCCAGAGCAAGAGGATGAGGGAATGGAGACCAAAGCAGATTCAATTTGTTGTTGAGGGATGTGGCAAATGCATCAATGTGAGGAGTACCCCACTGAAGGCAAAGCCACTGGAAAACAAAAAGATTGAGAGATCACTTCGTAGGATAGACTTTGTCTGGATGGGAAAGCTAATCCGCAACAAGATTGAAAGCACCCGGAACATGGCACGCAATGATATTGAATATCTAGTATGTGGGCCCAAAAAGGAAGATCCGAAGTATGAAACCATAGGGATCGAGAATGGGTCCTGTCCTGGTGATTGAGATAAGCAACCACTGCAGAATTGTTGGAATGGATCATTACCAAATGATTTCTGGCCTGATAGAGAAAATGATTCAAAGCATAACATACAGTGACAAGCTCCAGGATGTTGATATGATAACACCTCTTAGCCAAAAATCAATGTCCCGAAGCTTCCTGTTGATCAACCCACGCTTCCCAGCTTTGGATGGATGTGTCCATGAAAATGTGTAAATCTGGATGAGGAGGAGGTAGCGGGACACCCACCAATGTGGGAGTCTTGTCCAACCACCAATGCAGATCGCTGACAAGGGTAGGAGGAAAGGAAATAGGAGCCATCAAAGGATCCCATGCAAGATTCCACTGGTCGTGAAGAGCCTACTAAACAGCCTGCATATGTGCACAACCTAATGATTTAAGAGATGTCATGGAAGACCACATTCCCAGAACAATAGAACCTTGTAAGCTGTAATAGAGGGAGTAGCAAGAGCATGGAGAACTGAAATCAAATGAAGCCAAAGAGGAGAAAGTTGGGCCCAATTGAGATGGGTGTTGAAAAAAACATCCAAATAGACAAGATATTGGGTAGGCTGAAGGAATAACTTTCCAATTTGATTAACCAGCCTACCTAAGCCAACTCCAGGAGCAGCCGATGAGTGTGATGGGCAGATTCCTGTTTGGATGAGCTAACAGTAGCCAGTTGTCCATGATGAAAGTGCAATCTGAGAGCATGTAAGTGATGAGCAAATGCTTTGATCACCTAACAAAAAACATACAGGGTTGAAGCAAACCTGAAGGGCAACAAGCAAAACTGATAAACCACCCTGTGGTGAACAAACTAAAGATATGGCCACGACTGACAAAATATTGGGATATGTAAGTAAGCATTTGCAACATCCAACTCGGTCAACCACAATCCTGGAGAAAAAGCCCACCCGAGGGTGAGAAATGACTCCATGGTAAAATGGGGCAGTATGAGAAAATGATTGAGGCGGGACAAATCTATTACGTGCCACCAGTCTCCAGATGACAAAGCAGCTTAGAGAAAGATGATGGACAAGTTCAATAGCCTGTTGAGACAGAAAGTCTTGTACCACCTCGGACTGACGCTGACTGGTAGTAGGATCCCAAGGCATGGGGAATGAAATGGGTATTCTGATAAAACCAGAATAACCCACAGATTTGTGGTGAAAGGTCGCCAAGTGAGCTCCTAGTCAATTCCAAATGAGCGGGAGATTCAAGGCTTGTGGAGGTAATGTACCTTATCGGAATCAGAATTTGATGTTTTGAATTACATTAAACACAGTACTAGAAGCTTATTTATATATGTGAATCTGAATTTTTGTTTTCAACTCTGTAAGTGACAACAGAATGTGCATTTAAACTTTGTTAATTGGATGTATATAATTTAAAGCCTTTTAAAAAATGTTTTTTAACATATGTGATGTGAAGTACCACAATGATTATTTCAAGATTCCATGAAAGAAAAAAGAAGAAAAACTGGTAGCACTTCATAAAATTTCAAAGTATTTCACATAAACGTTTTTTATTTCTGAAAATAAAATGCCTACAACATATTCATGGTCAAGGTAGAAAAGCATGCAAAAATGTTTTAATTTTTAGAATAGAACTCCATTTTATTTTATGTTTTTGTATTCTTCAAATAATCTTTCTTTTATGTTTCTTTTTTCCTCAGAAAAACAGTGGATGGAAATGACTTAGTTAAAATTAACTTATTTTTACTCACCACCAATTAACATTTTATCACACCCATCATCAATACAAATTTGAATATACTAATACTGAATAAAATATACCATTGATCATCTGAAAAAAGTTGCTACTTAAGAGTTAATTGAACCTGGATTAATTCAAATATTTACCTGAACCACTCCAAGGCAAAGTGGGGATGTTGGCTGTTTGAGCAACAATTGTTGAAGCAATTTTATCACCCAGGGACCACATAGCTTTGGATGGTGGTCCTAAAAGTTCAAAATATAACAAGTTTGTATTTTTAATCTTTTATTATAGCATTCTCAACACACCTTGTTCCAAGTAGATGTTTAGTTCCCAGTTTAAAAATTAACTTTTGGTTTGTTTTTTACATGTTTCAAGAAGTACATGTGCCACAGAAAAGAGTTGGAACAATTCTTTACAAAGAAAAAAATTACACTAGAAATAGCCATTTTTGATGAGCAAGTGGTATCATAGACAGAGTTTACACTCAAGACAAGCTCTCATTCTACTTATACTTGGACTGCATGCTACTGACTCTTATTAAATTGAAAGAACAATCTCTCATCTTGGAGGAATATCAAAAATATTCTCTATCTATATAGTTGATCAGTGAAACTGCAACTACGATGAACAGAGATCAACATCCTGGTTTATTTGCTTACTTCTAAGTTCTTTTTGAGTTGAAAGTCCTAAGCACCTTGCCATGCCAGGCCATGTCCATTGGATTAGCCTGTATAGATCACTACCCCGACATGGTTGAGCAATGCTCTTCACTATTGTCATGGCCCTATAGCTCCTATAACTACAGAACTTAATAAGTTAACCAAGTTGTTCAACCATTGTTATGGTATTGCTAAGCCTAACAAACTCCATTGTAAAAACTATGTAGGGTTACATATTTTAAGCTATAAAAGACCCATATGGAACAAATGAAATCTTCAACTTTATTCAAGAGATCTTATTACACAATACATATTCTCCCAATGCTAGAGAAATTGGAACTACTATGGCATGTACACTAGGTTCTCAGGTCTCACTTGACATGAACGTGGCCTCCAAACTGTACAATATTTTAGTTTGTACAACATTTTTATACTTTTCCTTACTGTATACAAACATCACAAGGAACAATTGTGACACAAAAACCACAATTTGCTAAATAATATTCTCAACCAAAATAAAGACTGCCTATTACATAAATACACTACAATTAACAGTAACAAACTATAATTGAGTTGGAAAGTAAGACAATATAAATAATTAATACAACAATTATTTCAAATCTCACCTTACTTTTGCATATTATTCATATGCTTGCACAGAGTTAATAAATATGTTACATAAAAACATTGCCAACTACTAAATCTAAATATACTGTACTCATACTTGAATAATTCAACTACATACAAAACAATCTATACATTTCAAATATTATTAAGACCACTTTAGCAAAGTTACTGTGACAATGAGAATACAACATTTTAAATATATGTACAAAGAGATGAGTACATTATACTAAAACAATTTTTGCTATTGATAACAGCAAGTCATGTGACAACCACAGCCAAAACATAAAAACAGCAGAATAGAATGTATAAAAAGCATATTTGGACATTGTTTGTTATTTTGTAGGTATTATGATGATACCCCAAAATTTATCACTTTTGAGAAGGGTGTGTAACAGCCCTTTTATCAGTCCAAAATATTCATAAACTCAGATCACAGATTTATGTGTTAAGATCGTGCATGACCGGACATGGCGACATGAACTATAATGACATGGTGAGGTTTCCAAACTTGTTTTAACATAACATACTCAACTTCTATATAATATAATAAGTATGATACAAATAATCTGTACTGTATGATAAAACATGAATTAATGACAAAGAGAATGAATGAGAGAGTACATCTTTTACAGGTATAATAAATATTACATGCTATTTCTCATTCAATAAACATGTAAAGCAGCTGAAAGAAAAGAGCTTCCCTTTTGTACTAATAACTGAAGTACACTGTCAATCTGATAGCCCTTAATACAAACATTATAAAAGGGGGTCATTTTATTATTTAATTTTTGGTGAAAACATTACTCTAACATATGATTTTATTGTAAAACAAGAAGAATATTTTGTATTCATATTAAATAAAAGTCTGTTTTAGTTATTTCCAAAGAGTGTTCTCAAGAGTACTTATTTTCAGCAGAATAAGGTGATTTTTATGAAAGAAAACAAAAAAAAGTCGAATTTATTTCAGCAGAAAAGTGAATCATAAAGGTGACAAAACAGAATTTTGTCACACACCAGTTTTACTTGAAAAAAGTAAGAATATGAATACTGGTTATTGCTAAGATGCAAATATTTGAGTAGAACCCATGAAACAAATGATACATACACCATGAATCAGGTAAACATTTTTATAAATAATCCTCAAGGAGAAAGAACATGTTCAACTTATGAATGATTTTCAAAGTAATACTCTGTTTAAACAAGTACATGTACAAGTAAACATGGACATTATCATGAATAAACAGATTTTCATTAATCCACTTATTTGGTTGATTATAAAAGTAAAATGTGTGTCAAGTCACAAGTGGTATTCAAAGTAATACTTCCAAGCACTGTTTGAACTAGTACAGCAATGTGCAAGTAAACATCAACATTACATGCAATAAACAGGTTTTCATGAATCCACTTGGTTTGGTTGATTGTAAAAGTAAAATTTTTTTCTTACCATTTTAGATTTGTTATCCTGATGCCATTCCACAATAACATTTTTTTAGTTTTTACACATAAAAACATGTTAATAAAGTTCATAAAATATATTAGAAACTGCACTATAATCTCCACACTACATAAAACTGAATATTAATCAATCTTAATGGTATAGAAGTAATATCAGACATACAAGAACATAAAGAGGGCAGTTCAAAGATAACAAAAATGTACACATCTTGTTACAGAAGTTGCATTACAACAACATCCAAATTAAAAAAACAAATCAAAATGAAGATAAATTGAATGCGTGTGTATATATGATACGACAGCAAGATGCCATGCACAAAAAATAAGGGTTTAATTTGACTTGTTAAAGAACCCAATTGGAAACAGGGTTCAGCTTTCTTTCTTTCTTTTTTTTGGTGAAATTTGTTGACTGCTTTAATTTGAAATATGTCTGCTGCTACATTAAGAACATTTTTTTAAGAAAAAAAGTTGATGTCCTTGGTACCTCAGCATAACTTTCCTTGAGTAGATAATTTTCCTCAACATACAAGGAAAATAAGCAAAAATTATATTCTAGTTGAAGTAATGAGTTTACATGACACTAATATTAACATAATTAGTAAAATAAAACAAAATTTTTTTTTACAAATTTCAGCTTTTACAGAAATTAGCTGTTCATAGCTACAAACCTTCAAGATCTGAATTGAAAAAAAGATTCAGATATGAAACAACTGGATCATGAGAAATCAACTGAGCATGAAAGTGTCAGTTCTGATATAAATTTAATAAAGTTCCTACCTAAATTATAAGATTTAAATAACCAAATATATCTTTCTAAAAGTTTGTACCAAACACTTTTATGACAAAATTATTAACTTTAAATTGCATACCTGACTATTAAGGTTAACAACTGACCAATAAATAATGCACAAATAGTAATTAAAAGTTGAAGATAGTTGCAATACAGTTTGAACAACTACTTCTAAATTATCATGATTAATAATGTTTAATGTGTGGTAACAGTTCCCTATTTGCATACGAAAATAGACATTTCTATCAAATGTGAGAATACACTCTATGCTAACAAAACATGCTTATTTTTCTACTTGGTGCACTATTTTAATATACTGATAGAAATTATCATTATCTAACAACAATGGTTATCCATAATGTTTGGCACAAAACTAATCTGTAAACATTGATGGCCTAGGTTTACTAAATAAATAAATAAACTATTATCTATTTTCAAAGTCTGTTTGTGACCTTTTATACTTTCTGACAACCCACTTTTGGGTTATTTGTAAGATTATTTCATTACTATAAATCAGTTAGCTTTGTTGCTGTTACATGAATATGAAACAGAAAAGAAACAAAACTACTAAATGTGACATTTGGTGCATAACTTTTGATATATATATATATATTAGCTAATAAAACTGATAGATAATAAAATTCCACCAGTAAATTTTCATGCAGAATATAATTTTTCTTAATTTAGCAAAGTGGTGTTCACATTATTATCATAAAAATTTTTCATGAATTTAATTTACGACCTATGACTTGCATCCTGAATTTTCCTGACATCTCCCTTTCTAGTTAGACATTAGCTGTCTCAATTAATTAACTGAAACCTACAGAAAAAATTTCTTGTACAAAGGTGCATGAAAACAAAAGAAGATGAGAGATCTAGTATCTTGTACTTCACAATGTGGTAATTTTCATGATATTAACAAATGAGACAAAGACAACATTTTATTTAGCTTGAGGCAGTTTAGAGCAAAAATAAATCAGGATAACAACTTATATTTGATTATTCTAGAAGTAATTTTCCCAAAACTGAAATGAATCAGTACGACCAAAGATGTTTAAGCAACCTACATAAAGCAGTATATAAATGAAATTTCCAAGATAAAAATGAGAAAGTAACAACTGAGAAATACTCTTCAACAAATGCATTTGAACTCTCTCTGAATTTCTTTTCAAATAATTTATATGTAAAGTATAAACGTACCCATAAAAGCAATGTCATTCTGACTTAAGAGTTCTGGTAATGAAGGATTTTCTGATGCATGTCCCCATCCTGCCCAAACAGCCTTAATATGGAATAAAAACAGTTATAAAACATCAATCACATCACTCTTCTTATATCATTATTCTAGCTAAACATTAGCTGCAAAAATTTTGGCAAGCATGTAACTGAAATTATTTTGATTATTAGCAATTTTATAAAAGAAACTATTTTTATTTTTTAGAATAAACTAATAAATGTAGTTGAATGAAAAATTACCTGGACGTTTGTTCTCTTTGCTATGTCAAGAATAAGCTCCACATTTGCATAATTATTATTGTTTGTTCCTCCTGGTACTGGAACATAGTGATCAGCTAACTTAATGTATTCTGTAGGAAACATACAGGAACATTTAACCAGAATTATGAAAACAAAGTTATTGTTTCACACAAGAATATGAAACAATAAAGTACTGTACAGAAAATAAATATTATGGTTAAAACTGGAGTAGCATGCAAAAAAATGTCAGTAGGGTACCTCAGGGCCTAGTGTTAGAACATTTGCTCTTTTTATTATTTATATCAGTAACATAGATGAAATAATGGTTAATAAATTACTTACATTTGCTGATGATATTAAGCTCTTGAGTATTGTTGGCAGTGAAGAGGATGTTACTTCACAAAATAATTTAAATAATTCGGTAAGTTAGGCAAATAAATGATATATATATATAGCTTTTAATTATAATAAATGCAAATTAATAAGTGTGTACTATTATAATTTGGACTATAAGCATAATTTTGATGGGAACAGCTTTAACAGTGTTATGAAAAAAAAAAGGACCTTGGTGTAGTGGTTGATCAGTTAGGAGGGATCTGAATGAGGTGTTTGGGATTGTTAACAGAATTGATAATGTTTCCTTCAGACATGGTGGGAGCAGTAAATGTAAGGGAGTTTAAGGGAAGGGTTGATAAATATTTGAATGATAAGGGTTGGCTCCGAGTTTGTTTTTTAAATTTTATTCTAGTGGATAGGACAACTTAGATGGAACAACAGGTTCCTAGTTGTCCTTAAATATTATGCTACAAAGCAATTCTGCAATTTAAGTTAACATTTTCCTGCATTGAAAATGTATTTCCAATAGATTTTTTACCTCTCCTTACAGAATAGCTTTTCCCGACTTGTAATGCCTTGTATATGAACAAATTTAACTCGCCACTAGCCTTCATACTCACACCTACCCCTATATTTTCATGTGAGACAGCTGCATGGTAGCATGCAAATGATCATGTGACAACCCTCCACCAATAAAAGTGTGACACAACTCTTAGCACAGCTGACTTCCTCTATGCAGATTAGTCCAGTTTCCCTTTAAGGTTGAACAACTAACGAGAAAAAGACAGCTAAAGTGGGGAGGAAGGGTTGGAAGTGTGAGTAGAGGTAACAATCTATCAGAAATACATTTTCAGTGTAGGAAAATGTTAGCTTCTGATATGATATCTTATCTCCTCTCACAGAATAGATAGAATCTCACAATGACCCAGTGGAGGGATCAATGTAACAGTACCTAGATGAGCCCCCTTTAGAGAGCATTTAAAGGAAGCGCATGGGATGTGTAAATAAAGAGTATGTTAGACATCCCCTTGGGAGACTGCACCATTTTTGAGTCAGGTATACTCTTTGTACATAAAAATGATGTGTCACAATAAGAGCCAAACCATAGGAGGGACTCCAGGTGTAGAATGGCTAGGATGCAGCAGACTGTAAGGGAGAATTCAACCTCAACCAACATAAATAGGTCTGTGATAGGAACATCCAGCCCATGATCAGAAGAGAAGGTGTCAAAAGGAGCAGTGCAGAAGTGGAAACTATAGCAGTTCTGGTCAAAATGGTGACACCAAGAGGATGCATTGCATAGTGGCTTGTATAATGAAAAAGACACTGTGATGTTGTCTCTGTTAAACCACCAGGAAAAGTCCACATGAAGGGAAGGAAGAAGATGGATAAGGGCATTCAAGGGATCCTGAAATGACGTTCTGCTGATCTTGTAAACCCACTGAAGAGGATGCATATGGGCTTGACTGAGGAGAATTAGGGTCTCCAAAGAAACCCACATCCCCAAAAGAGATAGAACCTCTGATTCAGTTGGAGACGGAGAGGAAGAAACAGCAAGAGGCTGTACAGATAGGTTGGCTGGTCAAGGTGGAGAAGTCCATCCTCTACCCTACTCAATACCTTGTTTATCTTGGGGTATTCTTTAATTTCCATCTAAGTCGGGCCCACCCTTCTCCCCTTCACTTGCAATCTACAGAGCATCTGGTTCAGAAAGACAAAACTGTGAAGGGAAGAGGTGGTATGCAAAGGAGCTAGAAGCAGCCAGTCATTCATTTAATGGTAGAAATGAAGGCCCCTGGAATGAAGAAGATGGGCAAAGGCCATGACAACCCAATGAAAAATGTAGGGAGCCAAAGCTAGCCCAAATGGAAGAGTCCAGAGCTGGTACATGCAACCCCAATGGACAAAATGAAGAAAATGCCAGAATGCTGGGGTGATGGGAATGTGGAGGTAAGCATCCAAGACATCCAACTTCATCATCCAAAGACCAAGAGCTAAAGCCTATTGAATAGATAGGTAAGACTCCATGGTGAATCAAGGAAGTGGTATAAGGAAGAGAGATTGATGATGGGGTACCAGTCTCCAGTCTTCTAGGGGACTATGAACAAAGGGGAGTACAAACTTGGCTGAGGAGGATCTCCCCATTCTACAGTGTTCTTGTGAATAAGATCTAGAACTACCTCAGAAAGATGCTGGCTGGAAAGGGGATCCAGAGGAGGGGGAAGGATAAGGGGACAGGGGAGGAGGGGAATTGAAATGAAGAATGAGCTTTCCAAAAAGAACATGCAGAACACAAAGGTCTATGGTGACAGACCCTCAGATGGTGGAAAAGAACAAAAGCCTGGCCCCCACCAGACCTGTATCCACCATGTAGTCATCGGGGCTACTGGGGGTGCTGAAGCCACTGACAAATGAACCAATGGCTAACCAAGGAGACCAGTGTAGAAACACTGGTAAAGAAAAGGAAGGAGGGGACAAAACACAGGAACAGATTCAGGAGGAGGTTGAGACAAATGGGAAGCCAATGAGGAAAGGGAGGTATACAAACATGCAGACTTGACTCTAGTCATCTCTAACAGTCACAAAGACCTCCCAAAAGACATTTTGCTTAATAAGGGAGCCATGCACAAGTCCTACAAGGAGGTTGGGGTAAATGTGCATGGGATAAAAGGGTGTCCCAACTCTAGAGATCCCAAAAACAGAGAAGCCATGTTTGTAGGGAAAGGATGGAAGAAAACAACCATGCAAGAGTGGAAAACCCCTCAGGGAAACAATGACAAGCCTGAGACCAAAGGTGAATCGAGGAAAGAGAACGAAGGAGGGAGAATAACATGAGGCAGATATGGGAAAATGTTACAGAAGTATTGGGATCCAAACCTAACAGTGGCAGAAGAGAATCCAACAGCTCAAATTCCACAAAAGGAAATGCAGACGGTAAGCCATAGCATGGGCTTCCATATTACATGGGGGTCAAAGCATATTGACTTCGAATGTAATTGATTTGCAAACCTATTGGCATGGACCCCAATATCCAGCAAAAGGAGGAGAACAAGATATTGGCCTGAAGGTGTCTCACTTAAAAGGAAAGTGGAGGCATCATAGAAAATGGGAGACAAAGACAAAATGTAGCATACTTGGTTTATTAGGCAAATCAGGAGCCTGCATGAAAGTAGACAACTCCCGGCAAACCAAGGCCATAACATCTTCCACAGACAATTGTGGACCTGAAGCCACTGCAGCTCAAGTAAGGTTAACTGTTGTAGGAAGAGCAATGGTAGTAGTTGTAATGTAAAACTCAGAATTCACTGCAACTGATGGTAGAAGTAGAACAGTACAAACAAGGAGCTCCAAAGAATCATGGATTAGAAGAAAAGATACATAATGTTAATGTGTACTGACTAAAATTTCAGAACACAAGTGCAACAATCTTAAAGAAAAACTAAGTTCCCAGAAAAAACAAATATGGAACTGATTGTAAGTTCCGTAAAAGAAAGTGTAAGCAAAAAATGTCTTAACACCACAAGTGGCAATCAAGAAGTGAAGTTGGTCTAACCTGCTTAGAGGAAGTTAGCTGTGCTAAGAGTTGTGTCACATTCCTATTGGTGGAGGGTTGTCACATGCTCATTTGCATGTTATCACTCAGTTGCCTCACATGAAAATGTGAGTGTAGGTGGGAGTATCAAGGCTAGTGGTGAGCAAAAATTTGCACATACAGAAAACAGCACAAGTTGGGAAAAGCTATTCTTTGAATGGAGGTAAGATATCATATCAGAAAAAACTGCATAAACTATTTAAGTGAACCCAGTAATATGACAATAACAGTTTTCTTCAGTAACCTGCTCATCACAATAAAGTAAGAGAACTACAGACCTCATCAGTTCTATCAGGTGGAATAAAAATCTAATCAAAATGAGTGGTATCACTTAAGCTAATCAAGACTGCTGTTTTAATCATGAAAATGGTACTATTACTATTACAAATTCATCATGGAAATACAATGTTGTATAAACAGTTTTATAATTTAATCATGCATAATCATAAGCATTTTATTTTACTGTTTAAACCTTACTTTGAAATTATTCTTAATAGCAAATGGAGGAATCTACTGATTTTATTCTTTTTCTTACCAGCATTGGCCTTAAGATCTTCTGGAGTGACCATGGCAACAAATCGTATAGCACGCTCATTTCTGAACATTTCATATGCCCAACGCCGTATAGATCGCATGCATTTGACAGCTGCAATTCCATTATTGGCTATTAGAACCTGAAAATAAGTTTCAAAAAAAGAAAGTTTGGTTTTAACTATCTACCATCAACAAAAATGTCCAGATTATTCACCTCTCAAAGTAATATCCAACTTGCATAGAAAGTAAGAACACATTGGTGAACCTACTTTCACGTGAAATGGCTAAAAGTTGTACTGTACTTGTGGTGAATTAGCAATATATCTCATTGTTTAGGCATAAAAATACTTTCTGTTACATTAGCATACTTTCAAACTATGCATAAAATATTAGACTTCTTGTATTCTTGTGCAACTAGTCAAGATATTCTGTTAATTTAGTCAGTGGTCTGTTTTAAACATGTCTAAAATCAAATGTATTATAGTAAAATTAAAACCAAAATTTGGTAGGGTAAAAAAAACAGTCTGTTTTCACTCAAAAAGGTGAATAGGAATAAAATGATTCAAAATATAAAATGGTAACAAAGAGCTACATTTATTGGACAGCAGGAAAATTTTACAATTTAAACAGCTTTCCAATAGCTACATATCTTTATAGTTACACAAAATTTACATTCACTTCCAGGCTATCATAATATAAATATTTATTGTACTCTATTTATTGAATCAACATTTATGTATAAAATTATAATCCTCTTACATGTGTATGAAGGTGCTCAGAATAGCATGTGTTTTACCCAAAATACTACACATCTATTACTTTTCATGACTGATAAATGATTCAAAAAGAAAGGGGGATATTTATCAAGCCTTCCCTTATACTTACTATATCAACAACATCTGAAGACAACCTATTCTAATAGCCAACCACCCTGTGATTTAAAAAAAAATAAAAAATTAAGAGATCTTAACCTATCTATCCAAGGTATCATCCTAATAGTCTTCTTTTGAACAATTTCCAACAATTCATTGTCCTTTCTAAGATAAGGAGCCAAAGACTGAACATAGTACTCATCATATGGTATAACCAATGACATTAGAACCTCTTTAGACTTATATTCAATATTTCTGTAGATATCGATGTAAAATCTGATTTGTACTACCACTAGCAAAAGTTGGCTTAAAAGAATGATCAACCAGAACACCAAGATTATTTTTTTCTACTGTTAATGTTATTCCTATAAAAATTATACTCATAATTCAAATAGTGCAACCTCACATACACTACCTTGCATTTATTATAATTAAGTGCCATCTGCCATTTATTTGCCCAACTCACAAAATAATCCAAATTCTTTTGTAAAGCAGTAGCAACATCCTCGTAGCTAGCAACACCATAAGCCATAATATCATCACCAAATCTATAGAATTTATTGACCATTCTTTCATCTACATCAATGATGTAAATTAAAAAGAACAAAGGTCCAAAGACAGAGGTCTGAGGTACCTCACTTGTGACATGAATCCAGCTTGACTGAACTTCATTTATACCAACACTCTGCTTTCTTCCATCTAGCCAGTTTTCTGTCCAGTGAGCCACCCTACACCTACAGTAATAATGTTTTAATAAGCCTTTTATGTGGCACCTTATCAAATGCTTTCAGAAAAACCAGATACATTCAATCCACACCTGAACCCTCATCTGCATCAGCAGTATGACCTCTTCAAGGATTGTCAAAAGATTAGTAAGGCATTATTTTCCCCTAGTGAAACCACATAGACTATCCATCAAAATTTTAAACTTTGTGAAATGACTCTGCAAAGCATCATATATCAGACTTTCAAAAAGTTTTCTCACCACTGATGTAAGAATAATAGGCCTATAATTACTAGGACAATTTTTATCACCTCTTGTGAAAAGAGGAGTAACATTAGTCAACTTCCAATCTTCTGGCACCTGTCCATTATTCAAGGACTTAGAAAAAATAGAAGCATGTAGTTTACATCTAGCTCCTTGAAAACCCTTGGGCAAATATTATCTGACCAAGGAGCTTTATTATTCTTTAAACTTCTCTCTTTTTTCTTAACAAGCTCAGATTTAACGTAATCATCTTTTGCAATCTTGTTTCCATCTAGTAACTGTTCAGGATGAGGAATATTGTTTAAGTCTTCAAGAGTAAAAATTGAAGAAAAAGTATATTTTAATACTCCAGCCATCCTATAATCATCATATATTAGCAATCCTGTATCATCCTTCAAAGGTCCTACTCCCATCCTAACATTTTGCTTATGCTTAGTGTATTTAAAAATAAATGTATTACTAATTTTTTAATTTTCAGCCAACCTTTTTGCACAGTGTTTATCTGATTTCCTAACTTTCCATTTGACCAACTTTCTTGATATTCTATAATCTTCCAAGTCTCCCATCATTGCAGTCAATTTAAACTTCTTATATTTACAATGTTTTTCTTTAATTTTATCTTTTATACCCTTTGTGAGCCAACCTGGTTTCTTGCTCTCAGTCACCTTATTTTTTTTCTATAAGGAACATTCTTATCATGAATAGTTAAGAATTTAGTTTTAAAAAATTTCCACATCTGATCAGTACATAATTAATTTAATTGCTCAATTCACTGTATGGTTTCTCATTTATTTTACTAAGAGCCTTCTTCTCTTATAACCACTAATAGAAACCCTAGTAGATTAAACCTCATTGCTATTAGCTTTGATATCCTGAACTTGAATAGAGTCTAACTTGCATCTTACATATAAAGCCACTCCTCCCCTCTTTAATATTCTATCCCTATTAAACAACATAGAACCATGTATTTCAAAGAAATTCCTGTCATCAAAATTCTCTACATTTAATCAGGTTTCATTTTTTCCTATTACATAAAAAATCTTCTGTTCTAACTACTGCTTTAAAAGTCATCCATTTTATTTCTTATACTTGTAGCATTTCAACACTAACAGTTCAGCTCACCATTAAAACTACTTTTGTACTTTTTTGTTCCTACACTATACTTTTCTCCACATTTTATTTTTCTGGCCTTCACCATTCTCTAGTCCTTGCTTAAAGCAACTCTTACAGTTGAGTTAATAGCCTTATAAACAAACTAGCCCTGCCATACTTAAATGTATTCCATCCATTCAAAAAAGCTCCATTTTCCCATTGAATAGATCCCACAAATCCATTCAGCAAATCTGCTCATCCTTACACATTATTTTAAGCCTAGTGACCCATTTAAAATTTCATCCCCACAATTAAGTCTTGGCAGTATCCCTGACAGAATTAAATTATTATGGTCCTTTTCTTTGAATGCTTTATCCCAGACTATCCTATCTTTGTGCTGTATGAAAGAATCACCTATAACAATAAACTCATTTTGTTTTTCATACCCATCCCTTTCTGTTCCTTTTTGTTATCTTTCTCTCCCCTAGTTCTTCATCTGCACAAGTTAAAATCTGTTGCTTATTAGAACCTGCTGATTATAATTAACCCCACTATTACTAACCCTGTTAGTAATGTTTCCAATTTCCTAAAAGTCATCATTAGCCACTGTATCCTTTGCATACAAAACCTTAAGTTCCTCTTTAAATCCTGCTGCCAGTAGTTTACTCTTCTCTTTATCCATTGCCTCTACCCTATTTAGAATAGCATCTAATTTCTCCTCCAACCTACAAATTATACATATAAATAAATATAAAGTAATGTGAAATATGTGTAAACAGTTGCTATACATTCAAGAAAATTGGAGAAACTCCTCCACATGAACAATACAATCTGAGAAGGATAGTTGATTATATAACCACCAGGTTCTGGTGAAGGAGCTATATGCGAAAAAATGGAATTCACAGAATGAAAAAACAAGAAACTTCAAAAGTTGCATTCAGAATCAAAAGGTTGAGCAAACAAAATGGGCTGAATCCTACATGGAAAAGAAACTTAACTGGGCATTGTATCCCAAGACACCCTCTACTGATCTTCCACAGTGCACTACAGAAGATTAAGGTGCATGAGAAATAACAGAAAACTTGTCCCCCCTCTTCTGAAATGCTCTTTCCAAAAGAAAAAATTAAATAATGACAGTGGAGGAAGAACCTAATAACAAAATAACTAGAAAATCCAATAAAGAATGTTGTAACACAGTTCTCACTCAATGTGTTACAAAAAAAATCAGGATAAAGAAATATAACAAGCAAAGACGTTGAAAAGAACATCTCACTGAAGAGAGAACAACCCTGAGAGGCATCAAGCTTGGATGAACCGAGGAGAAAAAAAAAAAGAATTGAGAAGTTTCCTTGTGTCATTTTTTTTATTATCAGAAATATTTGTGTCTGACAACATTTAGTAGTAAATAACAAGAGCTGTTCTGCCACATTGACTTCTGCTTTAATAGTATACCTTTATTTTTGTCAATGTTTTTTATGGTATTACAATGTTCTAATTCCTATGTGATACAAGCAAGAAACTGTTGTGCTTGACATTAATTTTATTCTGCAATACTCTCTACAGTAAACACTAACATAAATTCTATAGACATTACTCAACAAAACAAAAGTTAGTTGTCATATCAAATAAAAAATGTTTTGGGCAAAACAAGAAACACCAATAAAATTATATGTAATTTTATAGAACTTTCATATATATTGGTACTTTTATAGATAGTAAAAAAAAAATTAATTTTTGGAAGGCTACTAAACTTAGAACTTAACTTACATTTAATACTAAATCAGATAGGCTATAAATTACTCCTACATACTTGCAGTGTCCGTAATGATTAACTAGCACTAATAAATAGTAGTAATACAAAAGAATATAACAGGGTATATTTTAAGATAAGTACTGCAGTTTTATCAAAACTAAAGAAGTTTATATGTATATATATTATTAACTAGTTCTGATGCTCTTAAAAGTTATTTCTTATCTGGTAAGACAGCTGGAATCCTATTATGGAGTGACATTTAAAATTTACAGATTTTTGTTATCTCTATATTACAGTATTAATTAAACATTTTCAAACAAATTATCAACGTTCTAAACTAGAAAATAAAACAAATACAAGTAACATTGTTATAATAATGTACTCCATAAAAATTATAATGTAAATGTATATTTGCTATTATGTTGATTTAGGTTT